AGTGAAAGTAGTCAAACTGAATTTTCAATAAACCAAAATACAGTTTCAAAGCAAATTAATTCAAATAATTAAATTCAGTTTCAATTTAGTAAAAATTATTTTTCAAACCACTGTATTCAATTTGAAATTATGCACATTCAGATTCAATCTGAGCAATTCAAATTCAGTTCCTGCTGGCACAAGGTTTATCCCGTACTGTACGGTGCTCATGTCTCCCGGTCCCAGCCTCTCACCACAGTTAGTGTAACCCAACACCGACACAATCGGGAACTCCTTGTGTTTCCGCTGGGTGCGCAGCAGGTGCCTCTGCCTGCGCAGCTTGTCCAGCGCCAAGCGGATCTTCTGCTCCCGCTCCTTCAGCAGCCTCTGCTGGACCTCGTACTGCGTCTCACCTGAAAACAAACAAATAAACAAWTAAATAAAGGTGCCAGCTGAAGTGACCACGAGGCTGTCAGCTGTGGGTGCTGCGTCACCTGAACCACCGATATGCCTCGATCCTCCGCCCTGCTGGTCCAGGTTTGCCTTTTCATTTTTTAGACGAGACCTGCCGTAAATCCAGGAAGTGGTTTTAAACCCAGCAGAGACAGCAACAAACAATCTAAACAAAACGTGAGCTTTGCGATCACCTCAACAAGGGGATCTCTGCCAGGGAGATCTGTAGCTTGGCCTCTTTGGTTCTGGCGTTGCAGCGGAAAATGTGGAGGACCACTGAGTATCTGTCAAACACCTTCACTCCCCAGGCTTCCTCAAACTCCCTCTGAGTGTAATCAGACAACAGAACGAGCAGTGAATGCCTCCCGTCACCCAGCACAGCCACAGAGGACCGTTCAGACGCACTCACCTCAGACAACGGGGACAGACGGTCCACGTTCACAAACACAGCAGTGACTCCTGCTGTTTGTCTAATTCTCTCTGTGGAGGAGAGAACACAAACGGTTGGAACAAACACACACACGATGCTGAACGGACCGACAAGGAGGCGAGCCCCGCTACCTGTGAGAAGCTGGAAGTTGCCTTTGCCGAATATCATCCTCTTCTCTGGCGTCTTGGTGGAGAGGATGAGCTTGTCCACCACTGTCCAGTCGTCCAACGTGTTCACGAGTCCCTCGGCCTCAGCCATCATCAGCTCAGCTGCAAACCAATCACCTCGTGTTTAAAACAAGGTTCCAGACAACTGTTTTATTTTTTTGTCCTAAAATAATGACCTTTTTACTGATGTTACAATTTGTTTAAGTGCCTGTGACGTCAAACATTTGTACAGTGGGGAAAATAAGTATTTAGTCAGTCACCAATTGTGCAAGTTCTCCCACTTAAAAAGATGAGAGAGGCCTGTAATTGACATCATAGGTAGACCTCAACTATGAGAG